AAATATCAAATACAACGAAATAAAATGACAAACAAACCAATCGTTTACCTTCCTACGTTCTAGTATACCCTGTATAAATAGTGGCACCGAAGAGGGTATATCACTGTCATATTAAAAGATATGCGCATAGATTGTACATTATAAGTCCAAAGGGAACTCTCTGAACTTCCTGAACTCTCTTATTTCTTTCGGACTTTTCGTATATCATATATTATATGATGTGACTGTAATAAAATGTCGAAATAACAAATGATAAGCCAGGGGAATAGCACTGTTCTCATATTTAGGTATATAAATTTAAATGACCAGAGTTAAATACTTAATATAGAATAATTGTAAAGAATAAACTATAACGAAAAATTGCTCACATTAAAAGGAAACTGGGACATAAGAATGAGAAACTTGTAAACTTTTGTCGACTCTGAGATGAAGGGTATTTCTTAGTCACGCTCTCTCTAAGCTGTAGCAGTCATATTTGTTAGTAACGGGGCTTTTGATTTTATCTTTGGGCTAAGCTGCCCGAACATAAAAATGTTATTGAAATGACGTTAGATAGTGATAAAAGTAAATTTAACTTTATTGAAATGCCGCGCCACATGAATCACCCGAAGCAACGAAATTGCAATTTCCGTCAGCGATGTTTTAATTTTAGTCAATATCAAAAGATGAAGATATACAAATATGATATATATATATATATATATGTATATTCGAAAGGGATGGCTTAACTCACCTGTCAAGAGCAGAATGGACACAATGAACCAGCAGGCGGATAGGCCAAGGTACACGCAGTCCCAGACGAGCAGCTGTGTGGGATCGAAGACGGTATCAACGCTGTCGATCAAGGTACGATTGTAGTTCTGGTAGGCTTCCAGGGACATCTTGCAGCTGCCATGGAAGTAGACATCGAAGAAGATGACCTTCACGAAGTTGCCATAGTTCATGGTCTCCGCGATGTAAATGTTGCAGCTATATGCAATGATTGCAGTTATCGTCAGGCCTATCCATATGACAGCTTGCACCTGTAATGAGCAGAGTGAGACAGAGAGGTGAGAGAGTGAGGTAGTGAGAGAGGAGAGCAGCTTGTTTGTTGACACACGTCAATGGGGCATTATGTAGCTTAGTTTTTGTGTGCAGTTGAGTGAATCAGTTTTCGATAACGGCTGTGATTGATTAGCCGCAGCTGATCACTTGGAAAATATGTGCTTCGTGCTTGATAGCTCCTCAATTCAGGTACAAAATTGAAACTGTGAAAGCTGTTGCTGTGAGTGCAGCAGCTGGCCCATAGATGTCGCTCTTATCGAATGCTGGAATGAGGTCAAACCGAGATAAAAACGTTCATGTTGCATCAGTTACTCACCACGCCGAGAGCACCTGCCCAGTTRGCCCAGGTTTTCAGGGAATCAAAGTTCTTAATGCCCGTGGATGGACGCCCGTACATCGTGACTGATTGCCTATAATAAATGTCCGCACAATAATTATTCGCACAATCGACGTTAGCGAGGTGCTTTACACAACTAAATCAGCCGGACGCGTTGAATGGAAATCGTTGCGAGCCCGTAACATGGGCCAATTAATTTTAGCGCTTTTCAATTTGTTTTTGCAGCTCGCTTAGTTTTCGATAACACTTTGAATAACAACAACAACAACAACAGCAACACAGTGCAACAATAACAACAGCAGCGGCAACAATCTGAACTGGCCAATAAAGAACTGTCTGAGCACACTTTTATTTTCGAATGTTCGACTTTATACGCTGAAATGCGTTCGCTTTTCGTATCGTTTGCCAACTGAAAATACGTCTTTTTGGTTACGGGTACCGTTACCAAATTATATATACACTATATATATGTGTATACCATTATTATTATTATCGGTGAACGGAGGTTACTGATAACGCTAGCCTCAATATTGCCAAACACCGTATCTCTTGCCCCGCATTTACCACACTTGCCATTCGCATAAACTGTTATTCCGGTGCGCAAAATCGTGGGGAACATATATAACAAATCGCTGTGGAATCTTATCGGCCCATTAGGAATGTTCATATTGTAAAGATATTTGTCAGCCAAAAATTTTAAATTGCAGCATAGGCGAAACAGTTTTGAATATCGCGCGCATTTAGCGACATCTACAGTTAGCTGGCAGTACTAAAAGTCGTACGACAACTCCAACGCGTGTTTTTTGAACATGCATAATTTACTCAGCCATAGAAATAATATGTAAACATAAATTTTATTTTTTAAATAAATATTTTATTTAAATTCAAAGAATATTTTTCATACTTTACAACCTCAAATATTATTTAAATACGATTTACAATCTTGCCTGATGCGCAATACACGTCAATTGATGTTGGACGTTGTTGTCGGAGCGTGTATGCCCACCAACACGGCCGCCATTTCCTCTTTGTGTAATAGAGACGGCCGACTATCGCATCGGCATGAAACAGGCCGCATGCGTGCGCTGAAGCGAGACAACAACATTGTGYGATGCAGCTCATGAGCATTTAACCCTAAATAATACTCTAGTCTATCTAGACTTAAGTACAGTCGAAAGTGACGCCGCGGTATACAAACTTTATTGAAAACCTAAACAAATTGT